AGGGGCGGAGGGGATTTTTGGATTGCCGTTGAAGAGGAAGAAGGAGGCGGCGAGATCGCCGGAAAGAAAGTGGGGATTTGAAGTGGAGGAGGAAGAAGATGTAGGAGGTAGCGATGAGTTCTTCTGGTGGAGCGACGCAGCAGAAGGAATGGCGGGAGTTTTGCCGCCAGAGTGCGATGCTTTTAGGTGATTTTTCCTTTCTTTTTTTTCTTACCATTAAATCATTCAATTATTTTTTAAGTATTTATTTAGGATCCATTTTTTTATTTTTAAAAAATAAGTTTATTTAATATAATTTTATATGTATTAAAATAAATTAAATTATCTTGTAAAAACATATAAATAATTTTAGATCTTCTGAATATTTTTAAAAATAATAATATCATAATCAAATATATTAAATATATTTTTATTCAAATTGAAATATAAATTAAATTAAAAATGATCCCAAATGATTTTTACTTATTTAATATTTATTTATTTATTCAAATGTAGAGTTAATGATATCAAATAACCATCATGTTAGATATTAGTTTTCAGATATCTAAATGTTGATATTTACTGATATAATATTTTATGAAATGCATTTTAATTTAAAAAGGAGTTAATATTAGTAGAATTTTTATGTGATTTAAGAACTTGAATTTTATATAAATAAAAATTTAACTTTTAAATATTAAATATATAAATATATAAAATATTGTGATATGTATGTAAATCCCCCCAATATAAAGAATTAATAAATTGATAAAATCTTTTTTAATATATATGATATGTTGTTATTATATATATATATATATATATTCATCAAATTCTCAATAACAATTTGATCATGACATACATTTCAGTGTTTAATTATGTAATTATCCCTATAATATATTGATACAGAACTATTTCAGTGTCAAAATGGAGCAGCTTCTAATGAAAATAAAGAAGATGGCGCGAGAGCTTGAGCTTATTTTAATGGATTCCGAAAGCTCCATTAAATGGAGAAAAGAGAAGAATGATATTAAAGATGATAACATGATTGTATGTCTCCGCAAGCACAGGCGAAGCAAAGAAGCAATTTTTAATGAAGAAAGGGAAGGTTTTGATCTGAATCAGGACGTGCTGGGAGCGTTTTTGAGGAGCTTGGGTTGCTCGCACGCTCTCAGCTTCCATGTCTTCGCAGGGGCTTCCAGCTTTCGAGTTTACTCTAAACAAGCTCTGGTTTCATTTCGACCTGCTAATGCCGCCATGGTGGTCACCATAGGAGACCAGATGCAGGTAAGTTTTAGAGGAATGGTCTAAATATATAGGAAAATATTTTTCAGGCATTTACTTACCTATCGTCCAATTCCTATGTATTTACCTATATAGTTGAATCCATATTTGCCCTGTGAATCACACCTAAGAAATATAAGATAAAATAAGAGAGAGGAAAAGAGTGCACATTAATGAAGAGTAGAATGAGGGACTTGTGTAACATTTTATTCATGAAATAATATCATGTTTATAGACAATGGGATACATTATGTGATATTAAATTGATATATCTACTTGAGCGGGGACTCTATAGGTTAATTTAGGTTTTTTACCCTTGTGGATCTAGGACATTACTGCTCTTTGGCAGGTCAACTGAACTTGATAGAACTCATGCAAGTCTTGTTTAGTCGACTACATCAGACGATGTTGTCAGTCTGGTGGATCTGGGGCTGTCGATCGGCTCGATAGTTGTGGGCAGAATTCTGACGATTGGTAGATAAGCTCGGGTCGTGGACCCCCGATCTCCACCAAAGAGCTTCTGTCAACAGGTTGAAGATAGGTCATCGGACATAGTATAAATCATTGTAATCCTACGAGTGGCCTTCCCTTAGACGAGAGGATCTTAATGGGGCAGTTGAGACCTATAAATATCTATTGTATTCTCTTTATGGTGTCGAGGGAGATGGCTAAATGATCCCGATATGACAGGGTCGTTTTCTATTGGATCGACTTCATCATGTTGGTAGGCTTGGAAGACTCTTTGTCTGTTGTCTGAATAAGCTGCTCGGGCTATTCAAACTCGACCACTCTGGTGATCACTCAAGCGGTCTCGAATTTGCTACATCTGGTCAGATATTAACATATTCCACTGAACATGTTTTTTATGATTCATCTTGACATT